CAGCCCGCTGAGGTCAGCAGGAACAACAACAACAGGAATTTCTGAACAAAAATGGCTTTAGAAACTCCAGAGGCTGTGCTGGAGTGTCCTGTGGGCAGTTCCTCCTTGGCAGATTGTAGAGGGGGAGCTGCAGCTTCAGGTGGCACTTGGGTCCTGCTCCTGGCTCCCGAGGATCCGAGGTTTGCAAAGGGGCACAGAGGGGAAACAAGGAACAAACAAAGCCAAGGAGCACAAGAGAAAAAAAGGCAGATGGCCCATAAGGGCTGTGCTGTGGCTTTTTAAAGAAGGACTTGGGGGATTTAAAAAAGAGAAATTAAAGTCACCTCCTTCATCCTTCTTTTCCCTCCCTTGAAGGCTCTGGAGAGTTACAGGGAGGGAACAAAGGACGGCAACCTCGGCCGGTGACAGAAGGAGGGTTGTGCAGCAAGGCACTGTGCAGAGCTCTCCCAGGCACTGTTTGAAATCCAAACAGCTTCCAGCCCACTGAATGCTTAAGCCATTTTCCTGATCTCTCAGCTGTTCTTCATTGAGAACACAAGCAGGTACTTCAAAGGAAGAAAGCGGAGAGGAAAAATAAACATATAGTAGGAATAACCAAACCTGTGTTTAGAATCTGTGTAACAGCAGGGGAAGCAGGGTATGCACACAGGCTCCTCCACCTTCTCCCTCTCAGTACAGGTGCTCTAAAAGAAAAGGGATTTTTAAAGGGAAATTATATTTACTCTATGAGAAGAGTGTCACAGTTTGGTGAATGATATCACCTGGCTACCTTGGTTAATAGTACCTGATGTATTTTCTGTGAATTCCTCATTGTGGGCATTTTTCCTCTGGGATTTCTTATGTTGACAAGCCCTTCATCAGAGGGGGTACCTGTGTGTGGACATGCATGTGCATAAGTGCAAGATCTCTCTACTGGCCATGTAGAAACTGTTCAGGTATCACAGATTAAGTTGGTCTAAGCATAAAACATCTCATATCTGATGGAAATAGATCAGAAAGAACAGAGGGAAATAACTAGAAAATACAGGAATGGGTTAAAAAAGCCATTTGGGGTCCAATCCTTATCTACTCTAAATTCACATGGACTCTGTGAGGTAATATTTAAGCCATCTACTCCCACGCCAAGTTACAGCAGCTCCTTCCAAACATCCCAGACAGTGCAGAGAACCAAGAATAAAAACAAGATAACACAGCGATAGCAGAAATAAGCCGAGCGTGTCCTCTGACCACGTGCCCATGAGCCACGTGGGGCAGACACAGTGTCAGCAGTTGAGCAACACGGTGAGAGAGTAGATCTGGACAGATGAGATCCACTTCACTTTCTCTTTCATTTATACCTGACCAAGAAGGGGGAAGGAGCCAGAGCTCTTGTCCCGATGTTCTGTCAAAAATGAAATGAGGTTACTGGTCTCCTGCAAGCGCCGATGAACATCAATCACAAAATCCTCATCGAGGCACAAAACACAGTCCCTCGGTGTTATTAGACAGCAAGAATTAGAAGTTTATCAAGCTGGAAAGAGCAGATCCTCGAGGGAGAATGGATTTCATAAGCAAGCAGCAAATCCTCCTCCAGGCACCTCAGTGCGACTTGCGAGGCAGCGAGAAAATGAAAAGAGCTCCTGCCTAGAGAGAAACACCCAGGGAGTGCTCCCAGCAGGCACCTCAGCAAAGGCCCTCGGCGGGATTGGGTGTCAATCCTTCCTCGCCTCTTCCTGCTTTCCCGAAGCAAAGGGGGAAAAAAGACAGGGGAAACAAAACAGAGAATGATATTTGCATTGCTGCTTATTTTTGCCCTGCAAAACAAATCTGTATGTGCTGGAGAAAAGGTTTCCACGGGCTTGTCACAAAACCTCTGCAGTTGGGTATGTCAGTCCTGGCTCAGGACAGGCTGGAGGCAGGAATATCAGCCTGACACATCACACAGAGGTGCATCCCCAGAGCTCTCCAAGGACCCAGGGCTGGAACAGCTGCTGCTGAAGGTCAGCAGAGGCAAAACTCAACTGCATTTCACTCTGGTAATCCCAATTTGGATATTGGAACCTGACCATGGGGAATGAAAACAGGACTGAAGCATTTCTTTATTCCAAGCCTTCCTGGCTGCCTCGGAGCGAGTCCCACTCCTGGAACAACCAACGACAGAGGGACGCAGAGCAATGAGGGGTTTGCCCCAGCTCCTCGCCAGTGGTGCTGGAAATCCTTGTATTCCCAGTCCCAGAGACCACTATCATGCCCTAAAATGTCCAAGTGCACGGAGAGAGGGGACAGGTCAGGGTTGGGACCACTGAATGCGGGAGACTTGGGGATGAGCTGCACCATCACCAACTGCACCCCTAGTCACCAGGGCCCTCTCCAAGTCCCCATGTCCTGCTTAGATGCTCAGGAGGCAGACGTTTAAAACTGCCACCCAGAAGATGTGCTTCCCTGCCACTGTTCACATGCTGACACCCCTTACACATCCACTTTGGAAATAAATATTTCCATTTTTATTAAATAACCCACAGCATCGACGGGCAGGGGTGAGCACAGCCCTCCAGGCCAGAGCTGATGGGCACAGGCACCTTCCAATATGCTGCTGGAACGAAGGCAGCAGGGGAACACAACGTTTTGTTTAATGAAAAAAAGCCCTGCTTCGAGCTTCTGAAGGGTTATTATAAGCTGTGGTGTGATGGAACTCGAGACATAAGTCTCTTTATATTTAATAATACATGTTATCGATCTTTTCCTGCGGAGAAACTTCAATGAACACCTTTTTTTTTTGTTTAAATCTTTTGTTGCGGATATTGATTATTCACTGAAAATCTAAGCCCCAAAGATGTGGCCAAATGATTTGACAAAAAAAACCCCTCTGATTTCTGCACCAAAGCAGACGTTTCCAAGCGGGGACAACCCTTTTGCTGTGCAGGATCACAGCGCTGACGGTGAGTTTATAATTAGCCCATACAAATGCATATGCAAATGCACATAACTGCATTTCAGAGGGAACTGCTCAGCCCCTAAAGCAAAAATGCAGCTACAATGGGAGCTAGAGAAATGCAGCAAGTATTCTGATCTTAGCAGATCATTAAAGCAGATTAATCAAACTTAATTTATTACCCAGGTTCCCAAACTGCCCACAAAGAGGCTCCCACAACAGCCCACTTGAAGGGCTGTGACATCCAAGCCCCGTCTGCTGAGGAGGCACCACTCCCTTTACTATCAAATCGCTTTCTCACAGAGAAGATCCACCAGCCAATGACTCAAACACCTGTGCTTTTATACCTGATGCAACATGAAGGTGCCATCGTTTAAAACACGTACTTATGCTTCTTTAAAATGCCAGATCCCCTCCTGCGTCCTGGCTGTACCGCAGGTCTGATGGGATTTATTCTCCGAGCCGGAGGGGGTGGTGAAGCAGATCAGAAGACGGGGATTGAGATGCACGTGAGACAGAAGGAGGCAAAGAGAGAGAAAGGAAAGAAGACAGATCAATTAAGGATCTGATCCCGGTGAGGAAACAAGCCCAAATATGTCCCTAAAGTTCCCGCCGCCGGCCCACAGGCGTTAGCAATGGCAAAGGGAGGGACGCGGTGCTCTGTGGCAGGAGCCCAGCCCCTGTTACAGGGCCGGGGCACAAATCCCCAGATTACAATAAGGCAGCTTGAAGGTGACAGATTCCATTGTTGAAGGTGATAAAATTCCACGTGCGCGCTGCAAAACAAGGGCTGGAGCTGAGCCCGCGGACAGGGAGGCAGCGCCCCGGGCAGCGCGGTGGGAGGGTTCTCCTGCTCGCCTCGCCCTGGAAATCACTGGAGACGCGCCCGGGTGCCCGAGGTGGGTGACAGGTTTGCTCTTGCCTGACACGGCGCAGGAGAGCCGCTGTTTGGGAGCAGAGCCTCTGTGTTCCCACTCGTGCCGTGGGATGTGGCAGCGATGCCGGAGAGCGGCGATTCCTGGGAAGGGGATAACAGCACAGGGCACAGGGCAGGAGAGGTGAGGGAGAGCCAGGCAGGATCCTGCAGGATGCACGCGAGCAAATTGCTCACTGCACCTTCTCCTGCTCATGTTTTGTTAGAGTGCTCTCCCTCAGCTCCCTCAGATCTCCCATGGGGGTCACACCAGCACGGGCCCATCATGAACGAGCTGTCCCAAAAGCTTCAGGCTTTGTTTTCCAAAAGAACCCCCAAGGCTGTTACACAGAGAAAACACGGATCGAGCAAAAGGCTGACCTTCACTGTCCTTCACTCTTTGTGCCCACTTTGCTGCAGAGGCTCTGTGGAAGGGCTCGGCAAGGACAGGTACTGACTCCTGGTCACACAGAGGGGCAGCTTGGTCTGCCCCAACCAGGCTGCTTGAAATGCAGGAAAGACTCAGCAACAGGGACGTGAAAACAACAGGAAAATCAAAGCTTGAGACTAAAGGAGCAATTAGACGAGCCTCGGAATACATTTGAGTCAAATCAATCCATACAAGAATTTCAGTCACGGTGTGTTGGTGCCCACACTACTCCCTCCCTCCCTTCCTCCTCCTCCCCCCAACCCAGGCTCAGATCCAGCCTCTCTGTCTGCTTCATCAGAATATGCACGAAGTGCAGTGACAACACGTCTCCTAAGATGCTTTATCAGTTTTGCAAAGTCCCAGTTCATCCTCCTCTTGTGGATCCATTTACATATTGATGTATTTATTCCCCTCTCTCCAGGCAGGCCCCATGAGATTAAAATATTTTATTTACAAAGACATTGGGGTTGCAGCTCCTAACAATTAATTCAGCAGGATGGAACTTTGCCTGTGCTCTCAGATTGATGTGTGATCAGAGTGATCGGCCCCGTCAGCGATTCGGGCTCAGCCGGGGCAGGACTGGCTACACCCCATCCCTACAAACCAGTCAATAGCAAAATGAATTGGGGTGGTGGGAGGACCAATATGCAGAAGGGAAAGATAATGAGGCAGCAGAAGGAGTGATGGATAAAACCTGGAGGAGAAACTTTGCCAAGAGGGCTCACCTTCAAAGGCTGGTGCTTCAGAGTGGTTTGTGCCTCGTGGGGACTCGCAGGCTCTCGGGAGCTGCCCCTGCTCCATCTCACCCATCCAAGTGAGGTGCACGAGGCTGCAGCACGTGTTCCCGCTGGATTCTCTGCCTCCCACTGGGTGGAACTGGTCCATCAGAGCGCTTCAGGCTCCCTGAAACACAAGAGCTGAAAAGTCACCTGCCTGTTCAGCCCAGTATAAATCTGGCACACTATTGCCTCTCCCTAACAGCAACCTCGTGCGGCGCCGCCGTTCTTCCCAGCGTCTCTGACATTTCAAAATTATATTTAGAGACCTGGATGGGAATTTAGTCCTGAAGTTTTCTGCTGCACACTGTCATATAAATATTCCGCCCCGCCGGCCGTTGGGTCTGTCGGTGCGGAGCGAGCCCGCGCCGGTGCCTCTAATTAACGGGCTGAGGCAGCCCAAGGAAGGGCACCAAACACTGGTGGAACCCTCTTAAAAGTCAGCACGTGTCTCCCTATTAATTCTCACCCTGATCTTTTGCATGGCACTATCGCCAGGCTAATTAATCACCGGTGCAAGCTCCAGCATTAATTGGAACAATGAATCATTTTTTTTGTCTGTTCCTGGCCACTTTCAGCCTATAGGAATGTGGGTACTGCCGTTCCTGTAATAATTATTATAAATATAAAGCAGCAGCACACACTGCATTTGGTAGGCATTAAAAAAGACGTGGTATTTGGCCTGGAGCATTAACAATCTGGTGCGTGTTCAGGGGAGTGATGGATGCAGCTCTCTGACAGTCTGGAAATGTGCTCCCTGAATCACCTTAATTCAGGACACTTCATGAAGGTGTTGGGAAAGCAAAGGTTTTAGGAATCCAGTGTCTGGATCAACAGGCTTTGGCAGGTCTTGACCACTCGTGGCTTGTTGGGACTTCCAAAGTGCCCAGGGATGGGAACACGTCTCCGGGTACTGCACGAGGGGGAGGAAAAGCTGCTGACAGTGCTGCTCTCAGAGATCAGATTATAAATGTCTGAAGTGACTCAGGTGCATCCTGTGCCCTGCCCAGAGCAGCACCTCCATGCACAGTGCCTGGCTGGGATGTGGGAATGACGGGCTCAGTACACGGTCAGGGCTCAGTCTCCGTGTCAGGCTGGACACTCCAGAAGAGGCTTCAGGTGCTGGGGAAGACAAAGCCACAGAGAACAAAACAGAGCTTTTTAGGGAGGAAACAAAAGCTAAAATGTGAACAGCTATAAACCCCCAGTCTGTCACCCAAAGGACAGTAAATATTCCCTTTCCTTGCCAGCCAGGGGGCTGGGGAGGAGAAGTGGCTGAAGGAGAGCTCAAGGTGAGGCCCGTTATTTACTGCAGCTGATGAATAAGCAAACCAACCCCCACACGGTGTTTGCCTACAGGACAGGAAAAGCTCCCGAGTGTTCAGCAGGCTGGTTACTTTTCCCCTCCTGGGGTGTGTTTTACATCCTCTTCCAGCAAGACACCGTACCACCATTAATTGTTCACACACACAAAACACATGGAATTCTCCTTTACCTCCACTCAGACCCAGCAGACCAAGTGGGGGAGGGCTGGAAAAGTCACTTACCAAGACAGAGGTGGGGAAAATAATGTAAAAAAAGATCCAAAAGGATTTGTGTTGGGTTTTAAAAAAACGTAATACACTTCTCTGCGCCAGTGTAAAAGCACAGGCTTGTTTGAAGTTCCAAGGGAAGGCGGGAGCACGGGGCAGGAATTGGCAGGCTCTGATCTGGCTGCTTTTCCTTATTATGAGAAAATACACTCTGGTCTCCTTGTGCAAGGGTATGAATTCTTCATCTCATATTGTGTTTGCACAGAAGCGTGAAATACATCCTGAGCACGGGTCCCGTCCCCAGCGCACAATGCGAGAACAACGAGGGCACTGAGAGCGGGGACGCTGCTCTTGCAGGGCCCGGGCTCTGCACGGCATTCACCGCATCCACGGGGCTCAGGGGGAAAACCCGAGGCACGTACTTCCTCCCTGAGGCTCGGGGGCCCTGGGCTGCGAGCTGTGTCCCTGTGGGAAGCTCCCGCCTTCCCCTCTGTAAATGTTCCCCCCGCTGCCGCTGAATCACCAAATAATCGGGAGACCCGTGGGAAGGGAATTAAAGGGTGGTTATCACGCTGCCGTGTTCTGCTCACTTTATTTGTTTTAAATGACCATGAAAGCAAAGCGGGGAGAAAGAAAACACACAAGTGGAAACTTAATTGAGCTGCTGAAATGTCTTTAAAGGAGCATTATGGGCTGGATTGCGGTGCCTCGGCTCGCACTGGTGGCATTTGCTCACATGAGTGGGCAGCTGATGAGGCAGTTCAGGGGGACCCTTTCTCTAAGAGAGCTGTACCTCTCACTGCGGGTCTGGAGCACAGAACAAGCAATGACACCCAGCTCTGGGGTGCCTGCACATCCCAAAAATGGGCAGGATGGGACCAGTCTCCCAGCACCCGGCGTCGTGTTGGGCTACAAGGGTCTGAATCCTTGTTTCGTGGCAGGGTTTGCTACTCCCAGGGGAATAGCCAAGACCATGCTGGGGTACAGCTTTTCCAATGGAGTGCCAAAGACTATCTGCCCTGGCTACATCTCCCCCAGAAGCTCCACTTCTGGGCAGGAGGAAGGGGGAGCCTGCTCTACTCCGAAGGCTCCTCAGGCACAAGGTGACAAAACCAGCAGAAGCCACAAAGTGGCCTTGGTTAGATGGTGTCTCAGTGTGGAGGCTTGGGAAGGGCTCACAGAGGGGCCAAAGAGCCCACAGAGGATCTGTGGGCAGGAGAGCACTCACAGAGCTGGGCAGCAGCTGGAACAGGACAGGAGAGCGACCAGAGGGACAGGATTGCCACAGGAACAGGAGGGAACTTCCCCTGGAGGTGGGCAGCAAAACCAGACCAAAATGTGGGGAGAAGATCCTGGCAGAGAAGGGGGAGGAACTGCCCTGACCAACTGGCTGGAGCTGGAATGTAGGAGAAGGGGAGCAAAGGAAAGCCAAGATGTGGAAGGGCAGGTACCACAGCTGAGCACAAACCAAGCCACCCACACCCACGGGAGCAGTCAGGGTGGGACCATGTGGGAAAAGGGGGCTCAAGAGATCCAGTGTGGGAGCCCAGGGATCTGACAGGGAACCTGCTGGACCTGCTGGAGCAGCCACAACTCGTGCTAATCTCTGAATGGAACAGAAATTGCCTCTGGCTTGTTACACCCGATTTTATTATGAGTTCAATGTGCACTGAAGTAAAAAAAATGGGTCCCTCTCTAGTCAATCTTCTGCTGGATCTTAAAATCCTCTGACTTGCAGGAAACTATCAAAAATCCCTGTATTTTCATGTCTAAGTTCTGAGTCCTGTGCAAATGCAAACAAAGGCAAAGGGGAGAAGGGAGAGCTGAGCTCCTCTGCCCTGCCATGTGCATCCCTCTGACACTGGCCAGGCCCTGCACAAAGCAATGGATCAGCTCCTTTCTGATCCCTTTGTCCAGTCTCTTCCCCATTCATGGGCTGGCTCCAGCCCGGGAGCAGTTTTTAGGATGCCCTGGCTCCTGCAGTTCCTCCTGCCCCTGTTTCCATACTGATGTTTCCTCAGGTGCCTTCCAAGCCCAGGAAATCCCTCCCACAAGCCTGGTGTTCTGAACTCCAGGCAGACAGCAAGGGTGAGGTGAGGGTACACATCCCACTTTGGCTGGGAAGATAATTAAAAGGGCAGTCAGGGATGGGAAGGGGGATGGAGACCTTCCTCTGCACCTCCTGCTCCGCTGGCTCTCACTAGGTCAGCACTTTCTGGGAATTGCTGCGTTGCCAGATGTTGATTGGGCATCTGACAGGAGATGAATAAAGCCAATAAAGCTCTTATTTCTGGCTATAAAAACAATAATGAAAAGCAGACAGGGATGGGGGATAGGCTGCCCAAGGCTTTCCCAGGCCACACTGAGCTGAGTGTAGCAGGAGCTGCCTTCCCTAATTTCCTCCTGCCTGTAAGCCATGAGCAATAGCCCCGAAATGAAGCAGTTGGATGATATTGTGTAGAGTCAGAATTCCTTGATTCCTGTCAAAGGGACTCTCTTTTGTTTATTTTGCATGGCCTTTTCCCACTGGCAGTGCCAAGCTCCCCAGCCAACCCCACCGTGAGATCAGGACTCGAGGCCCAGGCTCTGCAAACCAGAGCAGCTCCTGTGTCTCCGTGAAGGCCAAGTCACCTCCTGCTCATAATGACTGTTCTGCCTCCAGCTCTGCACGAGGGAGCTCCTGTTCCTGTGCCAAAGGCTGCCCTGCTTCCCGGGCCTCTCTCCCAGAGGCACAGACGTGCCCATGCTTTCAGCTCCTGTGCAGCTAAAGACCAAGTTCTGAATATCAACCACTTCCTTCGCGCTCTGCTGTACCAGCCTGGGGATATTTGGCCAGATCTGAGATTTTGGGATGCATTTCTGCATAGAGATTTGCTACACAGCTGCTGGCACAAGAGCTGTCCTTGTCCTGACCACCAACAGCGACACCTCTCCTCTTGGGAAGCGCTGCAAAAGGGGCAGATCACAGAATCCTAGAACCACAAAATCATAGAATCCCAGAATCTCAGACTGGTTTGGGTTGGAAAGGACCTTAAGCTCATCTTGTTCCACCCCCTGCCATGGGCAGAGACACCTTCCACTAGCCCAGGTTGCTCCGAGTCCCATCCAACCTGGCCTTGGACACCTCCAGGGATGGGGCAGCCACAGCTTCTCTGGGCAACCTGTGCCAGGGCCTCACCACCCTCACAACCAAGAACTTCTTCCCCATATCCCACCTAAACCTCTGCCAGTGTGAAGCCAGATCCTACAACACCCACACTTCCCAAAGCCTGGGATTTGGAGGGTGAAGGGGATATTTATAAACAATTCCCTGGGTTTGTAACCTCATAACCTGTGATCTAAATGAGCTCCTGGGCTGCACCCTTTAGAGGTCCTAAACAACCCATAAAAAGGGTTGTTGGTGGCAAAGGTATCGTTTGTGGCAATCTTCCTGCCCCACTGGTGCCTGCACTGCTGTGCTGGGAATGCACTGACCTGTGCACACCTGGACTGGCTCTGGATAAGCCTGCAGATCCACCTCACTGCATGGCAATCAGAGCAGCCCTGCTCCCTGCTGGGTTCAGTGCCAGGTTGGCAACTGAAAAGAAACATCCCAAATGTGCATTAAGAGTTTTTGAGGTGGGCACCCCCACAAGGACAGTGTCCAGCCTGGCTGTCACACGATGGCATGAGGCAAAGGTCCACGACTGTGGTGAGCTGCAGCCCAGATCAGCTCCCAGGCACCTCCTAAAGCCAGGAACAGGAGCTCTTCTGAAACAACACCACCTTCAGCCCAGAAACTGCTGCAATCCACATGGGAAACCCTTCTGCTGGACCTTGGGAGGCCAAGGAGTTAGTTCCTGATCCAAAAACCAATGAGCTGCCTCCACCCCACAGGGCATGACCCGGTTACACTTGTGCAAACACCTGGCACCAGCAGTGACACACACACACCTATGCATTTAACACCTCTGGCTTCCCAAACCTTAACCTCAGTTGCCAGCATTATGGGCTGGGAATATATATTTAAGGTGGAAAGCATTCCTGGAAACTGGCTGTTCTTCAAAGGCATATTTACTGGATGTTCCAATAGCCACAACTCAATAAACATACAGCAATATTACACTGGGTAAAAATGCCTGGGATAAAAGGAGAGAGAAACTCTCAGTACCGTTCTCTTCAATATTTTTATCAATGATCTAAATGACTCTGTATAAATCCTTGTTGTGGGGAGGTTTGCAGATGCCAACAAGATTGGTGGGAGGGGAACAAGAAGAAGGACTGGACTATCAATACACTGGGATCTGACATGACTGAGACTTGGCCACATGCCAGTGAAACATGATTTAAAAAGTCAAATGCAAGGTAAGACATCTGAAACCAGAAATGCAGGTTACACTCACAGGATGCTGCCTCAGAAAGGAATTGTTTGGAAAAGAACTTGGAAAACATCACAGGGATCTGCTGTAGCCCTAAAGCTGCCACAAAGGGGGGACTCTGATCCCTGGGTGTTTAGAAGGGACAATGGATGATCCCTTCTGGCACACAGCTCCAACAACCTGCTGGAAGGCCACATTCAGGCTGAGTTCTTTCCTTCATGGAGAAAGAGAAAACACAGGAGCAGCTCTGCAAAGCTGGGGAATGGAGGCTGTCCTGTGGCTCCTGAAGGAGCCCAAGGCTGTTGGCTTGTCCAGGATGTGACTGAGGCAGGATCTGGTCACTGCTACAGGCACTGATACGGGGGATGGCAATTGCTGGAGAGGGCTTTGGGGAACAATGATTGCACATTTAACCTTGAAGCAAAAACCTGACAGAAACAGCTGTGCAGGCTGAGCAGCACTGGAAGAGTCTGCCAGGGAGCCAAGTGAAATGATGGGGTTTGGTGTTTTCCAGAAGGTGCTCTTTAACTCACCTTCCGGAAAAATGATACAAGTGGTTGGTTAGACTACGTGTGGCTGTAGGAATCCCTGGATTGCTAGACTGGAGTCTAGTCCTTGCACAGATTGTTTGGAGCAGGCATCTCTTTGTACCTGAAGGAATGGAGGAAGTGCTGTGGAACGGCTCGGGCACTCCTGAAAGATTTTTCCTGGCTGCCTCGAACTCTGCCCGATGCTCGATGCTCGGGGGATATTTCTGCCTAAGCCTCACTTACTGTAAGTTATATGACTGTCTCTTCCCAAATTAAGCAAACACAGATTCCCTCCTGCCGAGCTGAAAATCTCAGTATCAGTTTCTCCAGTCCTCACCAAATCCTCACCAGTCTGGCTCTGGAGAAAATGCATAAAGAACCCCCGTCTGCTCCGAGTTCCGGCTGGGGAGCTGCACGGATATCAGCGAGGTTTCAGGGTGTAACAGAGCAGAAACCAGCTCAGCATGCTCATCTTCTCAAGCTAAGTCTGTCCTTCTGTTTGGATAGATTAGCTCTTCCCTGCATTTCCCCCTGCTCAGGGATGCCAGCCTGGCCCCGGCAGCCGAGAGCCGCGAACAGCGGGAGGCCCCGCTTCATCCAGCACCAACTCCCACATCTCCAACAGTGCCGCCTTTTGTTCTCCTGGTTCCTGTCTGATCTCTTCAGCCCTGTCTTACATTCCTCCTTCAGGGCCCCCTCCGAAAGTTACTCCACAAAACAGGATCCTGCTTTTCTATTTCAAACCCCGGCCTGGCATCTGAGCAAAAATAAGCAGGGATCAATCATCGCCCCGACACACAGGGGTCCCTTTTCCACCTCTCCCTTGGCTTTTGGAAGATGAACTGTCACAATTCATCTGCTGCTTGGATATGCAGGGAACTCACGGACTCGGGCAGTGGGATACAAGGGGTGTATTTCCTGGATGAAAAATGAATGTATTGAAGAGAATAAACTGAAGGAGCTGATCTTACCTGTTCACCTCCCTGCCAAGCCAAGCTGGGCACTCGTGAAACAGCTGCTGGGTGAACTCCACTCCTCACCGCCCTCACTCGACGCGGTCCCACACAGCACAGCAGCTCTTGGCTCCTAAATTCCAAGTCATCAGTGGCAACTTTTCCACTTGCAGACTGGATCCTGGGTGGAGTACCAGGTGCAAGTGCTCTCAGCAGGTTCCAAGTCTGCCCAGACAGTGCCATCCCTTCCCTCGGGAGCTGCAGCGATGCTAATCATGGAACAAGCAACTTCCTGACTGCATAGTATTGCTTCCCTGGAACAACAGCATTTCAGAGTGAATGTGTTATCAAAACAATACACCAGGCTGTGCATGCTCAGATTAACTTTCACCTGCTGTTTGCAGCGCTGAGAGGCTGCTCTGGCCAGCTCCCTGACCCCTCTGTGCCTGTGTCGGTGTTTGGTTCAGTCTGGAGCCCCTTGGGGTGACTCTCCTGACCTTCCCTCTACTGCAATCACATCCAGGCTGCAGAACTGGATTCCTTTCAGCCATGAGATGAGCTCCAGAGACCCACACAACACACCCAGCTGCTACTGAATGCTCCAAGACACGGGGCCAGACCAGACCTAACCCAAGGAATTCCCCCCAGAACACACACAGTGGACCAGCACCAAACGTTTCACTCCCCAGATCTGTTCCTGTCACACCTCACTGCTTCCTCGTGCAGGTGTGAGCTCTAGGAAGCCTCTCTGCACCTGCCTGTCTCTCTGCAGAATCCCATGGTGTTTCCCAGACAGCTTGCACAACCCAATTAGCTAAATTTTCCCCCATTCCACTCCATTCTGGTTTAGCTAAACAAGATTCCCTCTATCCAGAGGTGGAAGGTTGTAGGCTTGGAGCTCACAGCTTACCCACAGTTGCCCAGAGAAGCTGTGGCTTCCCCATCCCTTGGAAGCGTCCAAGGCCAGGTTGGATGGGGATTGGAGCGACCTGGGATAGTGGAAGGTGTCCCTGCCCATGGAAGGGGGTGGAACAAGATAGTCTTTTAGGTCCCTCCAACCCAAAACATTCTGGGATTCCATGATTACCCTGTTGCCTGGGAGCTTTCAGAGGTCCATTCCCTGGAAGTGTGGCTTGGACCAGCAAACCTTCTCTAACTCACTGGCAGGCTCTGAATTAACAAAAAGCCAGGACTGAGGTTCAGGTAGGGAACTGTGTGTTCTGCTGGAGGCCCTGAAGGAAACAGAGTTGAATTCCCATAAAGGAATCACCGGGATCGTTACAGATGAATAATTATTTTGGATCTGGGAAGCCATGGTGGTGTTCATTTCCTGACGGTTTTTCCTGGGCTGTCGTGTAGGACCAGACGCTGTGCGGGACCAGCCCCAGCACATTCCCTGCTCCAGGGACAGCCTGGCCCAGACCTGCTCCTCCCCCAGTCATTTTCCAATTAGCACAGGGCTGTGGTGTGATGAGTAACTGTGGAAGGAGAGAGGGAATCTGAATTTGCCTGCCCTTAAACCGGTTACTGGGATTTCTAATGAGTGTCAAACAATTGCAAACCCTCCCCAACCACAATAACAGGTCCCTGGCCAGTGTCAAGTCTAATTTCACTAAACAGTGGTACCATTAAATTCCCCTGTGATGGTTGATTTTGAACTGGCAGTAGGAATGAGTTATACCCACTACACAGGGATTTCAGATTTCATCTTCGCTTCTACCTTTGATTTATTGAACAGATTTATTTTCTGGGTTACATTTTAATATTTTTGCCCTTCTGTTAATGATAACCACTGTCTGAAGGTTTGCACTTCAGTGTCGCAATGCTGAAGAAATTGGGAGTATCTGGGTCTGCTGTGAGTGTAACTGGCCAGGTTTAAACACTTACTCTGGCTCTGAAATACAGGTGTTCACTCCCATGGCAGAAATCTCAATTCAAAAGCTTCACACTTCTCCCAGAAACGAATTCTGCCTCAGGAGCTTATTTAAATCAGAGACCAAAATAGAGGAAAAATCACTCTCCTGTTATTTTCACTCTTCCCCTGCTCAGAGTCTCATGTGACAAATCAGCTGCTACTTATAGAACATCTTCCAAAGCCTGCACGTTGTTTCCCAGGGTGGCTGGGAGAGCCGTGGAGGTACCACTGTCACTGCAGCAGCACAGTCAGCACATCACTCTGAAAGCTGCTCCCACTTATCCAACACTGCTGGGCAAATGCTTAGGGTGAGAGCGTCTTAAGGACTCTAAAAAAATGTAAAAAATTAAGGAAAACCCTCTCTGTGTCCTCTTGCTGGTGATTCCTCCCCCCCTCCACACCCTCCAGCACAAACCTCCCCATCTCCACTGCAAAGACCCCACTTTGCACCTCCAGTTCTGCAACTGCCACGGAGCATCTGGGTCCAGTCAAGATCATGGTTTGAGTCTCCCTACATAATTTAGCAAGATTTTACTGCCAAAAAGTAATTTCCCTGCAAAGAAAGGCCAGTAAGTCTTGCCTGATCCCTTTAGCTCTGTATCATCTGCAAATTTAATGATCCAAATGCTGCGGTGCTGTGTAAATCTTTAATAAAAATACTACAGAGCCCCAGCAGAGGATCTGCTCCCTGGTCACCTCCTCAGTGACACTCACCCTTAGCTTCAAGACATGGCTCTGCCTTCCTCCCAGTATTTTACCCTTTTCAATAATAGATTATTTTAACCTACACTGAGGGAGTTTGGACCATAATCCATCAGGCAAAATTTTCTTAAAGCCTTGTGGGCAACCAGATAGATTTATACTATCCAGCCCGATAGTTATTTCATTAGCATAAGTGATCAAATTAGTCTGACATGATTTACCTGCAATATATCCATGCTGACTCACTCCCATTACAGGAAATTTATTCTTCCTAAAAAAATTCTGCTGCAAACTAACTGTAAATGAAGATTTCAGAAGAACAACGTTCATCTGGAATCTTTGCCTCCTGTTATTATTTCTGTTGTGAGGGAGCATGGGCATTTTTGGGTCATTTAGGGAATGGGCCAGACTAAAGGAGAGACAGAGGGTACAGGAACAAGTGGAGGAACAAAAGAATTATCTCTCCAGAGGGGGCAGGTACTGTCAAGGACACTTGACTCCTTCCAGAGAGAGACACAGAGCAAGGAATTAAACCTGGCACGAGACACTCAAAATAGGATTTCATCTGATCTGATTTTCTCTGGACCCTGACGAAGCACCTTGGGAAGAGAGAGAGGAGCAGGAGGAGGGAAGTCTGCTTTGGAGCTTCCAACCACAGACACCACCATCACCTTCTACATCTAATGAAACTACTGAAAAAACTGTTGCATGGCCAAACTATTGTCCCCAAAGGAAGAATGTCATTCCAGACATGTTGAGAGATGCCAGGAGAAAAGGAGGCTCAGGGGGGACCTTCTTTCTCTCTCCAACTCCCTGACAGGAGGGTGGAGCCAGGGGGTGTGTGTCAGGCTCTGCTCCCAGGGAAGGAGGGACAGGAGGAGAGGAAACAGCCTCAAGTTGTGCCAGGGGAGGTTTAGGTTGGATACTGGGGAAGATTTCTTCGTGGAAAAGGTTTTCAAGCTTTGGAACAGGCTGCTCAGGGCAGGGGTGGAGTCCCCATTTCTAGGGGGATTTAAAAGCCATGTGGATGTGGCACTTGGGGACATGGTCAGTGGTGGCCTTGGCAGGGCTGGGGAATGGTTGGACTCGATGACTTCAGAGGGCTTTTCTAACCTAAACAATTCTGTGATTTTGGGAGATCTTTCTCCAGTGAAGGAGAGTTTTGGGGGAGTTTGTTGGATTGGGGATTTAGTTGGGAACGATTTCCTTGCAGGAACTGGACTGAGCCCAGAGAACTGAAGTCCCCTGGTATATTCAGTCAAAACAAGCTTTCTCTTCTTCTTGACCACTCTGCCCTGTCAGCCACCTCCTCCCCCAGGGACCTCCTCTCCCAGGCTGCAGGGAAGCTCAGGAGGCCTCCCCAGCTATTCAGGGTACACAGAATTGTTTCTCACAGTTTCTTTACACACCATGGTGACTTGCAGGCAGTAATGTCCTTCCACACAGGGTTTGCCCACACCTGAATGCAGCTGCCAACCCTCCAGGAGCAGCCAGGAATGCTGCTGGCACAGTGCAGAGGCACAAAACTGGGGGCCTGGGGTGGAATTCCAGCTCTGCTACTGTCCTCTTGTGCCACCTTTAGGCATGTCACCTTCCCCTGGAGCTGGCTCCCCCTCCCACCTCCAGTCTGACCTGGATGTTTAAATCTGAACTCTTCAGAGAACAGAGCAACTCTTGTACCCAGAGCAACTCAGGGTCCACTGTGCAAAAGTGTCTAAATCTGCTTCCAACTCTTTTAGTTAAACCAGAGAATTTTCTTTCATTTTGCTCTTGGCTAAACATTCAGTTGAGATTTTTCATGCTGCATTTAAAGATGGGAGAGGAGGGAGACTTTTTATGAAGGCAGACAGTGACAGGCCAAGGGGGGATGATTTTAAACTGCCAGAGGGCAGGGTTAGATGGGATATTGGAAAAGAATGCTTCCCTGTGAGGGTGGGGAGGCCCTGGCACAGGTTGCCCAGGGAAGCTGTGGCTGCCCCATCCCTGGAAGTGTCCAAGGCCAGGTTGGACGGGGCTTGGAGCAACCTGGGCTAGTGGAAGGTGTCCCTGCCCGTGGCAGGGGGTGGAACGAGATGAGCTTTAGGGTCCTTTACAGCCCAAACCATTCCACAATTCCATGCCTTGGGAACTGACCACATTAACATCTGTAAGTTAATTTTTGTCTAGGGAAGCCTTCTGGTATTGAAGGATGCTCACAAAGGCCACTCCACAGGCAGCTGTTGGGTAACCTGTGTTACCAACTGAATCATTCCATTACAGTTTTAATTTCAGCTGTGTCCTTCAAGGCAATGAAGCTACAGGCAACATCGTGCTGAGGGCAAAGGGAGTCAAGGAATTATTAAATGATCACAGTTAAGAGGTAGAACAAAGGTCCAGTCATTAAAGCATGCACAGAAAACCAAGCCTTTTCCACTATGTAATCCTCTGTCAGGCCTCCCCACTGCTTGGCACAGTAAAATAATACAGCCAGAGATGATATTTTTTTCCTCCTACATATACTGTCATTTAATTTCTCAGGGGAAAAAAAAAAACCTTTCAAGCTCTTTAGTGTTTAAAAGGAAAGTTAACAGTGACAGGCACCGAGGCGTTTCAAGCCTGCTGTGTGGGGTCCAGGGATAAGGTGTGTCCTTGAGGAAGAACAGGTTCCAGTGAGGATCCATCCCTGACCAGCCAGCAGCCTCAATCCCACAAAATTCAGTGTGTAACTGAGCCTGCAGCACAAACCTGAGCACCATTGACTTCAAAAGCCTTTAGCACATATTTAAAATTATCAGAGGCTTTGATAACTTGGGACCTTGGTCAAATCCAAGGACCACTAGGAAACGAGGAGATACTGTCTCCAAGCACAGGACACACACATAGCACTCCATGTCAACCCCCTTAATTAGCACATAATCTGTACTCTACCAGGAAATCAGAGTCCCTTCTCCATCAGCACCATCAACGTCCTGACAGTGCTGCAGGAACTCTTCTCTTTTAATTACATGGAGCCAACCACGTGCTGTGTGATTAGTAAGAAAAATGAATTATTGAAGTAACTTGCATTTAACAAAAACTGCCATTCTGCTTGCCACTCAGTGCTCAGCCACCATAAAAAGATGTTCTTCTTATGCAGGAAAATAGATTTTTCCTGCTGCTAAGATGTCGCAGATTTGAGATTTTTTCCAGGCTTTTCAAACATAAAGTCCTGTATCCTTACCTAGATTCCAGGTCAGCAGTGACCAGGTGGCTTATCAGGCAGCCTGATCTCTGCAGCAGGTTCCCAGCTGGTTAAGAATTACTGTGAATGGAGGAAAACAACCTAAAAAATTACAGGGAAAATGACAGCCTTTCTCCTGTTTGACAGAGATCTTGCTTTTCCCTCTTTTTTCCCTTGTGCACGTTCATAATTTTGTAGACAGGTAATTACATGTCTGATATAAAGACCACCCCTCCTAGTTCACGCTTCAGAGCCGGCAGAATTTAGTTGCATTTAATCACAGCAATCACAGATGCAGAAATGCAGCTGGGGTGGAGGTGGAAGAAGAGCTCACTCACCCACCTAATGGAGGAATTCAACTGGGAGACCTGGAATCAGACACGGAGTTGCTGCTCTTGCCTTTGGCTTCATTTTCT